TCTGGGTTTGCCCCACATGACTCTTCATTCAGGACTCAGGCTGCAGGAGCCACTGTGCCCTGGGGCATGCTCTTCTGGTGACAGTTATCAGAAGTGCAAGTCGGAGCTCTAGCTGAAACACACGGTTGCATTTAAAGCTCCTGCTTACTTGTCACATGCATCATGCCTGCTCTCATTTTATTGACTAAAGCAAGTTGTATGTCCCAACCCAGTGCCAGTGATGTAGGGAAGTTTATCCCTTCCAGAGCAGGACAGAGTAAATACGTAGGGAAAATCATACCATTCACCCCACTACACCAAAGAACCCTTTATTAGTTTGGCTATCTTTCTCCTCCAGACTTTAAGCTCCTAAGGGTAAGATCTAATTTGTCCATTTATACCTTGCCAAAACTTAGTACAGTTGCTGAATGGGTAAGTGAATTACTGGGTAAGTGGATTTTCCAACCATTCAAGATGGGAGACGCAGGAAGAAGATTGAGTTTGTTGTAGATAATGGGTTCAGTACCAGCCTCATAGGCTAAAGATGTTCTAAGCATAGTCCTGGTAATAGAACTGTCATTTTTAATGCAGTTACTGAGAGCTAATGTGTTCTGAGTTCCATACTATCAACTTAGAATCACTCTTTTGCAAAGAGCTAATACGCTTAAAACAGTCTGTGTGCTTTTTAAAAATAGACTTCACTTTTTAGAGAAGTTTTAGGTTCACAGTAAAATTGAGGGAAAGGTACAGAAATTTCCCATATACTTCCTACACCTGCCCATGCACAGCCTTCCCCATCATCAACATCCCCCACCAGAGTGGTACATCGGTTACAACGGACGATCCTATGCTGACACATCATTATCACTAGAAGTCCAGTTTACACTAATGGTTCACACCTGGTGCTATACATTCTGTGGCTTTGGATACATGTATAATAATATGTATCTACTATTATAGTTTCCTACAGAGTAGTTTCACTACCTTAAAAAATGCTCTGTGTTCTTCCTATTCATCCCTCCCTACTCCACCCCCACCCCCTGGCATCCACTGCTCTTTTTAATGTCTCCATAGTTTTACCTTTTTCAGATGTCATATAGTTAGAACCACAGAGTATACAGCCTTTTCAGATTGGCTCCTTTCACTTAGTAGTATGCATTTAAGTTTCCTCCATGTCTCTTCTCGGCCTGATATTCCATTTATTTTCAACGCTGAGTGATATTTCATTGTCTGGATGTGCCAAGTGTATTTATCCATTCATCTACTGGAGGACGTCTTGGTTGCCTCCAGGTTCTGGCAATTATGAATGAAGCTTCTGCAAACATTCATGTGCAGGTTTATGTGTGGACGTAAGTTTTCAACTCCTCTGGGTAAATTCCCACGAAGCGATTGCTGGGTCATGTGGTAAGAGTATGTTTAGTTTTACAAACTGTCTTCCAGAGCGGCTGTGCCATTCTGTGTTCCCACCAGCAATGAGTGGGAGTTCCTGTTGTTCCCCATCCTTGTCAGCCGCTGGTGTGTTCAGTGTTCCCGGTTCTGACAATTCCGACAGGTGTGTACCGGTGTTCCACTGCAGTTTACTTTGCGGTTCCCTGATGACATATGATGTGGAGCATGTTCCCATACGTTTGTCACCTGTACATCTTCTTTGGTGAAGTGTCTGTTCAAGTCTTTGGTCCATTTTTAAATTGGGTTGTTTATTTTCTTATTGTTGAGTTACCCATAACTTTTTGATTGACTGATTACCTTGGTCTTAAAGGTTCTCAAATCTTACATCTAAACGCCAAGTTTTAGAGTTGGTTTTCTTACTTCTAGAAGCTGCCATTAAGGAAGGCTAATCACACAACTGTAAACATATAGTCACAGAATTTAAAAATAACAGAAAAAAAAGGAATGGAAAGATAGGTGAGAGAGTCCTTGAACCTCTGAAAATGCAGAATTTTGAGCGTGTACACATGTGCACTTGTCTAGAGAGAGAGACTACAGTTTCTCCTTAGAGTTTTAAAATGCTTTGCAAATCAAAAGAGGTTAAATAAACCCATTGTTGCCAAGAGCAGAGAAGGAACACCATTTTTATTTATTCCCAGATGATCATATTTATAATCGTTTATCAAACATTCATTTTGTGGTCGATACTGTTCTAAGCACTTTCATAGACAGTGTCATTTAATTTTCAAAACAACTCTTATTAACATCTTTAATTTTTAAATGTGGATACTCGAATTCAGAGAATTACCGCCTCCCTGTCCTGTGCCCAGCCAATGGCAGAGAGAGACATGCACAGCTGCCCTCTTAACCACACGATGTATTTCCTTCAGTCCTCAACATAATTTTACTTTACCCCTCTCTGTCTTTCTCAATAATTTTGGTTAAAAAATAGCTTTTAAATTTAGCTCCCTGGCAGTCACAAACCCGACAGCTCTCAGATTTCTGGCAGAGTAGCCCAGTTTGCATGTCATAAATATAACCGAAGACACAACTAGACGCTTAGATACGTTTTCATGATTGTGCAATCTTACTAATGGTTGGCCTCAGATTCCAAGTGCAAAAGTTGTGGTGCCTCGGCTAGTTGGCAGGCCTTTGCCAAGCCCCGTTCCACTATGGAATTCTGCTCATTAGGTTAATGAAAAGCAAATTTGCAGTATCCCTGCTAGTGTAAAGCCTTCTAATAGCAGGGGTTAATTTGTATGAGGCGTATTTACCAGTTCTTATTTGAGTAAAACCTCCAGAAATGGACCTGCATATTGCTGAGGATAACACTAAAAATCTACCCTGTATCCACAGGTCCTCTTTCAGAGAAGGATTTAACCGAGGACACATAAACGGACTGTACAGATGTGATGAGCGGTGGGCCATATTGTGTGCACCAGGATGGGGGCTGGGCTGAGGATCGACCAGAACTTAAGGATAAACCAGGGATAGGCCCTTTCTCGGGGAGTTCAGCTCTCCATTCATCTCTTCTCTCAGCAGTTCTGTGCAGATTTGGCATCCACATTTGCAAAGTGCCTTTGTCTTCCAAATGTCACGGTGGATGCAGGCACATTTTATGACTGCTAGCTCAGAAGTGGAGAGACCGACCGATGACGGGCTGTGGAGGGTGGAGTGGCTGACAGGGTGCTGGGGCACCTCTGAGCAGTCACTGGGGTCACTTGCTTCTCTGACTTTACTGTCTTTGTGTGTTTCTTTTACTGGTTCCCTCCCCCCTTTTTTCCTTTTGTGCTTCCCAGGAACACCCCACAAATGTGACTTATGTTACTGGAAGCAGCACATAGCACGGTGCTGAAGAGAAGGAGCTCCGGAGTCAAACAGGCCGTGCCCAGCTGCGATGGCCTTGGGCAATACACTCAACCGTAACATGGGGCATGGGAAACGCTCCTTACCCAACTGGTATGAGGATTTGTAGTTAGATCACGCATGGGCAATGCCTGTTACTATTTTCATTACTGACAACAGAAACAAAACAAGGGGTACAGACTGTGGGCTCTGGGGTTTTTATTGAATGAGAAATGACTGAGGTCTGGAGCAACCTGGGCTGTCTCCAGGGGCCCAGGGATGCCTCACCTGGCTGCGAAGGATGGCAGGGCCAAGGTAAATAGGTAGGAAAGAGAAGGAACTGTGTAACTGTGCCGGTTATAAACATGTCTGCAAATTTTTGGACATGTCTTTCATGAAAGAAAAGTCTAATTTTCTTCCCCTTGTATGTGCGCTAGCCTTGTCACTTGCTTCTAGCAACTAGGATGTGGTGAAAGAGATACTGAGTGATTTCTGCTATTAAATTAGAAAATGTGATTCAGTGTCTGTTGCTCTAATATCTATGTTTTTTGTATCTGTCTGTCTGTCTATCTGTCATCTGTCATCTCTCTGTCCACTACCTTTAGAGTCCTGACCTACCTTGTAAGAAGCCAGGCTACGTGGAAGCTCCCACAGGACCGTGTGGGGAGGCCACGCGGGACCACGTGGAATTAGAGATACACACCCAAGGAGCCCCGGCTGCTCCAGTTCTCCCAGCCCAGCCACCACATGTGTGAGTGAGCCTTCAGACCACGCCCGTCCTGGCTGCCATGTGACAGTAGCTGTGTGAGACCCCGAGCGACAACTGCCTAGCTGAGCCCCGTCAGCCACTAGAACCCTAAAAAAATAATAATAAAATGTTATTTTAAGCCACTGCATTTGAGAGTAACTTGTTACCCATAGTAACTGGAACACTAACTAAAGGCATTAGAACACTTTATCAACCAAATCAAATTTACAAATGAAATAACAAGACTACAAAGCCAGTAATTTTTCAATGCAAGTAGGTTAATTCATTTTGAAGGATGGTGTTTCGCAGTAGCCAAATCGATGCTGACACCATTAAAAGGTGAATGCTACAGTGCAAGCTTTTGTGTCACTAACTAATACATGTGTCACGTGGTAACAACGCTCCCTCCAGAACACCCCATCCCCACCACCAGGACACCTTCACTAAGTGCAGGGCAAAACCTGGCCTTCCCGTGGCACTGGCACATTACCATTATGTCCTGGTCCTGCCGCTGTTCTTCACCCCTCAACCCACCGCAATCCCCGAGGTTCTCCGTGACACCAGGGTGACCCTCAGTGCAGACACGAATGAAGAACTGACACTGAGGGTCAGCACTCAATCATCAGGGGTCATGCAAAGAACCCAGAATTTTAAAAATATTTTTTTAGATTAACATGAATATGAAAACACATTTAAAAATGCTTGTAAGGGATTATCAACCACATAAAGGTATGAGACAACTTGGTCGGACTGAGAAAGAGAGAGACACACTCCAGGCACTGCTAAGCAAAAGGACGTAGCTAAAGTGCAGTGAGGAATGCCCTAAAGGCAGTGTCTGGAACCTGCACTATTAACTTGCAGCCGTTGTTGGGTGGGTGAGAGACACGGCGAAAGCTCCGTTTCAGGATTCTTGTCCCAGCTGTCCATGTACGACGAATTAGAGAGAGGTGGGACTGGAGTCAGGACGAGCCTGGCTCGCAGTCTCTCTGACTGTACTCACCCTCGCACTTAAAAAGTCAGTGTTCAGCAAGTTCTCCCTGAATGTGTGGGACTCCACTGGGCTCTTTGAAAAATACGGCACCGACTGTGGGCTGGATTTAGTTTCAGCCCTTGGGGCTTTATGCTGCTCTTCCTGCTCCTCCTGCTCTTCATTGATAAATGACATAACCTTGGTGGCCCCATTCATGTCCCCGCACCTCCAGGCCTCCATCTGTCAAACAAGGGATAATGACATGTATATTCTAGTCATGTTATGAATATGTTTTCTGTAAAAATAGCTATTTAATTTTTATATTAATTGTCATTCAATTACAGTTCTCCTCATCCCCCACCTTCCACTACCCTCATGTTATAAATATTAAATATTGGGCATAAGAAATCTTCAAGGAGCTTCAAGCCTTCACAGAATGAAATGAGTTTGTACTCTTCAGAGTACACTTTAGAGTTAGATCATGCTTTAAAGAGAACATTGAAACTGTTGTAAAAAAGACATACTGTTGTTTCTTTTTTATTGCTCAAACTATATTATACCAGCATTAATAGAATTTTTAAAAAATGAATAAAAGCCCAGTATTCCACAGCTACCAAATATCAACCTTTTATTTTCCCTATTTCTTATTAGCTCTTATTCATATACAGTCATACATTTCCAAGGCACATTATAGATGCATTGTTGTGTTTTGCTTTTTTCACATAAACATAAGCATTTTTGTGTTGTTCTGTATTGTTCACAGTTACAATTTTACAGTAATCCATCAAGTTGATACATCACAATTTACTAACTCTGTATGAAGCACATCTGTATGTGCAACATCTTCCTTCCTTCCTCCCTCTTGTCCTTCCTTCCTTCCTTCCTTCCTTCCTTCCTCTGCTTCCTCCTCTCCTTCTAGCATGGAAGTGGAAAAGAAAGCAGATTAAAGGGCACCAGGAATAGAGATTATTGAGGCAAAGAGAATGAACATTTTTATTTCTTTTGAAAATAATTCATTAAGCTCTTTCTTTAAAAATAGGAGATACTGCGTGTTTTAGAAAAGACAGACTTCGGGGTCTGACTGAAAAGCCTGCACAGGCAGGACCCAGTTAGCACTTCCCCTTGTTGCTATTCCCCGTTTCTGATTCTCGGTTTTCTTCGTCTTGACGGCAGGGAAGAAAGCGGGAGTCCCTTTCCGAATTCCTGCTGAAGAGTCCTCTACGGAGTACTACGTGGAAATACGGGCTTGTTGGCTGACTTAAGCAAACAGGTGGTTGAGTGAGCCCCGACAGAGGTACAATTTAGAGTGCGTACCTCTTAGCCCCTCAGTGACATCAGACGACACCAATTTGAGAAAATCTCCAATCCCAGTCAAACGAGGTTAAGCTAGCGTATTAACCTGCAGGCGGTTCTCCCGTGAGGGAATGCCCGAGGTTCATCTGTCCACTTGCATTAATCACGAGGGACAGCAGCTGGAAGCCCGGGGCTGGGACCGAGATCACCAGGTCTCCAGAGAGCAAGTAAACAATGTCAAGTGCCAGGGAACAAGTTTCTGTACTGTCCTGCTCCCCCCAACTTTTTTTTTAACCGTCACATTCTTCAAGGTTAGGAACTATAATCCGGGTCTCACCAAGTCTGAAGTTTTGATAGTCCCGAGTCCCTAAACTCGGTCCCGTAGACCACGAAACCACCATCAGAGAATTCAAACGAGATCGTGATGCAGCAAATTCTCTTGCGTGCTGTGGTTCCAGCCCTCATTGAGCTGTTTTGTAAACGGTGTAAATATTAACTTTGCTGCATGCCAAGCCAGGGTTAAGTACTACTGGAATGGTAATGACAGGCACTGGAAGCTAGGTTTAGCTAGGTAAATAATAAAAGCATTTCAGTTTTACTATTTGCTTTGGACAGAAATGTCTGCCCCGAGGAAGAGGCAGACAGCACATCAGCTCTCTAAACACAGGATTCGCAACCTTGGCTGACTTCGGAATTCCCCCAATGCAGAAAGCTCGGCCCAACCCACATCCAGTGAGTTTGAAATTCCTGTGTGTGCGTGGGGTGAGCGTGAGGGGACTTTGGGAATCTTGAACCCAGAAACAAAGCTGAGTATGACCATTCTCACACCGCAGCAAGAAGTGCCTGAGACATGGGCTGAAATATCATTAGTGCTGAATGTTACCCACACACGCATGTCGTTTGTTTAATGTCACCAACATTATTCTTCACAGAAATCTCGTCCCCTTGCACTCTTCGAGTTAGCTCCTTCTCTGCCGCTTCCAGTGTGTGTTTCTCCTGAAGTTTCTCCCAAACCGCAGTGCAGACTTGGGCAGGCACAACCTATCATCTCATCCGCAGCACTAGATACAGTATCATGTAGTTACCTCGAGAGTTCTGACCCCTCGTTGGGAAAGGGAAAAGCACAATCTTTGCCCAAGACCAAGGTCAAATGTGGAGTTCCCATGGCTCAGCCAGGCATCAGGGAAAGCGGGTGGGAAGCCTTCAAAAATTACAGGGTAGAAGGGAACACAGTGTCTCTTCATCTCATGGATGAGGGACTTGAGAACAGAGAGGTTGGAACTTGTTCAAGATGACACACAGCCAGGGAATGGGAGAGTTGGGTTTGGACTCAGGTCTCCCAGTTACCCTGACCCATGGAGTGGACGGGATGGGCCACTCCGGGGGAAAGCAGGACGGGCTCACCCTCCCTCCTCCACCAGGGCAGCTCTGCTGAAATCTGTTTACGTAAGAGGCTTTCAGAGAGGGTTGAAAACCGTGACATACCAGAGGATAGCAATGGTTTTGGTTTCAGTCACTATGTTTTCTGCAGGTTCAGGTAATCCACCAGAGCTTGTTTACAGGGCGTTTACCGGAGAAGTCTCCAGTTCTTTAACCCGGAACACGCACAGGCACACTCTGCTTTGGAGACGCCACCCAGCCCCAACTCCAGAGATCAGTTGCTCCCTTTCACTTAATCCTTTAACTTGCAAAAGGGCCAAAGACCTTTGGGTCTTGGACATTCTTCAACGTACGAAGTTAAGCTTTCTATGCCTCTGTGCAAGAGCACTTTTCCAGGTTTACAACAAACACTTTTGATTTTTCATGGTTTGACCTCTGCAAAAATCTCTTTTCAGATCATGTATAGCTATGCAAATTTCTAGCCATAACTTTTATGTTAATAAAAAACAATCATCACAGTTTTTTAGGTGCTTATGCAGTCTGCAAGAATTATATCATTGAATTCTCCCAACAACGCAGTTATATCAGCTCCATTTTGCAGATGAAGTAGCTGAGAGGCTGGGTTCTTGGCCTAGGTTGAATATTTAATGGAAGGAGGTCTGAACACAGATTGCTCTGATTCCAAAGCTGAGTCCTTAATCACGAAGATCAAAGCATGCCTCACCTCATAAACAATTACTATAAATTCATGTAGTGATTTTCATATCAGTATCACAGTACTTTCTTATCAGGTCATCAACAAATAGAAAGCATTTTGCCATACTTCTTGTTTATCTGAAGAAACAAGGACAGCGAATTATTCCAGGAACCGCTGGAATTGCCAGGAGCCTACACCGGACGGAAGCTGCACTCAGAGCAAAGGGGTAAGGCCCCGGGTGTGCATGGGGGTACCGCCAGCATCTGCATGTTTACTCAATATTACATGCACCAGGCGAGGCACTGCAGCTACAAAGTGAAATAAGAATGGGTTTTCTGTCCTGGCAGAACTCACAGTCTAGTGGGGAAACTTGTAAATGGAAAATATAATATGACAAGTACTCAATGAGCACAACACACAAGGCATGTTTCGAGAACAGAGATGAGTCAGTGGACTCAGAGAAGCCTACCTCAAGGTCATGGCCCACACCCATACGCTAAGTCTGGGAGGAGGCGGGGGAGTTAGCCAGACTGAGAAGATGGTGGAGGAGCAGGCGGGGAAGGGCCCTGCAGACAGGATGGCATGAAGGGGTAGAGCAAAGGAAAACTGCTGGGCGTGCCAGAGAGCTGTGGGCAGATCCACCTACTGGAATGCAAAATGTGAGGTAGGAGGGAGGCTGGAGAGCTCATAGGTGGCCTTTTGTGTTCTGCTGAGTTTGGATTTCTCAGTAGGCATTGGGAAGTCATTTAAGAGTCTCGAGTTCATGAGTGACATGACCATATTTGCATTTTAGGTCCATCACCCCGACTGGCTATCAGCTGTTCTTTGCTATCACCGGCGACTCCCATACATGTGACACTTGCCCATGAGTTTATCCAATGGTTATGAGCAAACCCCAAAATAGGATAAGCCCGAAAGAAACCCGCACCAAAACACAACATAATTACACTGCTAACAGCCATGGACAAAGAAAAAAGATCTTGAAATCAGAGAAAAATGACACCTTATTTATAGAGAAAAGTAATTAGAATAACAGTGGATTTCCTGTCACAAATAACAAAGGCCATTAATGCTGCTTTTCAAAATCTGAAAGAAAAGAACTGTCATCTAGAATCTTAAACTCAGAGAAAACAGTGCCGCTAAACTGGACTCAATCATAATTTAAAACTTCTGTTCTGTGAAGGGCCCTATTGTGGGCACGAACAGACAAACCTGTTTGTAAAACACATTCGACAAAGAACCAGGATCAAAAACATATAAATAACTCAAGATTTGAGTTAAAAAAATATAATTAGGATCTGGGCAAAACACATGGAGAGACGTTTCACCAAAGAAGGTATTCAGATGGCAAATAAGCCCATGAAAAGATGTTCAAAACCATTAGTCGTTAGGAAATGTCAGTTAAAACCACAATAAATGCCTGTACGCACCCATCAAAACGTCTAAAATAAAAAATAGTGCCAACACCAAATGCTGGTGAGGCTGTGGGGAGACTGGATCGCTCACACACTGCTGCTGAGAATATAAAATGGCACAGACGCTCTGCAAAATGGTTTGGCTTAAAGAGGAGGGGGCAGCAGAGAAGTGGGCGCCGTGGTGGCGAGGGAAGGTTGAGGGGGGGGCTGTTGACCTCCCCAGTGTCCAGGTCCTGGCTGTGGTGGTGTCCTGCAGTTTTACAAGACGTCACCGCTGAGGAAAATGGGGTAAAGGGTATGTGGGATCTCTCTGTATTATCTTTTACAACGGCATGTGCATCTGCACTTATCTCAAAACAAAAATTATTTAAAAATAACTTTGTCCTTGAAATGCCAGGACTGTGTAATATGTCTTATAACTCCATGTGAATCTGCAATGATCTCAAAATAAAATTTAACTTAAAAAGAAGTTTGTCCTTGAAATGCCAGGGAATGGTACTGTTGAAACAGTTTCTGTGATTAAAAAGGTTTGGCAGACGCTGGAATAAACAAAACGTATCAGGCTTCTTTACCAGGAGACTCCTCAGAGCCCGGCATTTGTGCCTGCCATAAGCAATGCAGCCCGCTGGCAGAAGACTTCCCAGTACGGCTGGCGTGAGGGCCAAACGGAATGATCCATGCATTGGGTTGGTCAAAACGTTTGTCTGTTTTTTTCCGTACGATGGCTCTAGTGGTGCTTATTTGTCTTTAACTTTATTCAAAAACAATTTTGTTAGAGTGCATTGTGTCCCTTCTCATATCAGCATACATTTAAAAAAATCAAAGTTGGTGAATTTTTGTGCAGCCATTTTAATATTGAAGATGGAAGAAAATACGCAGCATATGTGGCATATTATACTTTATTATTTCAAGAAAGGTAAAAACACAACTGAACGCAAAAAATGTTTGTGAAGTATATGGAGAAGGTGCTGTGACTAAATGTGTCAAAAGTGGTTTGCGAAGTTTCTTGGTACTGTTGACATTTTAGCCAAATAATTCTTTGCTGTGGGCTGTCTTACGCATTGGAAGATGTTTAGCAGCACCCCTGGCCTCTACCCACTAGAAGCCAATAACAGCAGGAGATAGCTGACATACTCAAAATATCCAAATCAATAAAGTTATTGGTGAAAATGAAAATTGTCTTTTATTTTTCAAAAAAAACTAAGTGAACTTTTTGGTCAACCCAATAAAAGGGTATATAATACCTGACATAAATGTTGTTAAGATTATTTTTACTATTCTATTCACTCTTTATCATAAATGTATCACATTGGTGTTTTTATATTAATTTTAAAATATGGAGATTGAGGATTAAAGAAGTAAATAATCTGAAAAAACATAGCTAGTAAGAGGCAGAGCCAGGATATGATCGCAGATCCGACTCTCAAATACCTGCTACTAATTTTGATACAATATTCCCTGAAAATGTATGATTTTTTTAAAGTAAAAATTAGAAGGTAAGGAACAAACTAGTACAGTATATCACTTTCAAAAAATTTCATGCATTACCTTCATAAGTCAACAACAAACTTTTCCAATATAACAACAGGCAAATTACCAATACATCAGTTCCTAACAGTGCCCAAAAAGCACCTCAAAGTATTCAGACTCAGAGTATAATGCAAAATAAACAAAATTCCTTTAAATCAACATATTAAAGATGCTGTTTTCCTTTGTTTTTTCCAAAGTGAGAAAACCTTACATCCACTCCTACAGCAGCCGTGGTGACCCAAGCACTTTCAAATAGCTGTTATCATTTTTAGCATAATTTGGTAGCAGGGAATTTCCCTAGATTTTTTAATTTCTAGAAATCAATACAATTAAAGTTTTTAGAAACGAAGCAGATACATAAACAAAGATATGTGCTCAAGGATGTTTATCACAGCATATTTATATAAGCAAAAACGTAAGAAGAACCTCAGTATCTCTTCCATGGGTGATGGTTAAAAAGTGGGGGACACTGATGTGACTGCAGTGATAATCCTGTTTCTAAAGAGTAATGATACAGAAAAAGCATAGATTTCATCTCATGAAAAGCAGAAAACACTCCATTTTATAAAATCAAAATGTGTGCGTCTTTGCAAGCGCATGCATGTGTGTGTGTTAGAAGAAAAGACATCAAGAGGTCAAGGGTGTTCTCTGGGGCTACGGCTATCATGAATAACGCTTATCTTCTCTACAGCAATTTTCAAAATTCCCACAATAACAATTCAGGAAAAATAGCAATCATCTGCCTCCCACAGTGGGTTCAGCGCAGCCCTCATGCGAACACCACTGGGTCCCTGTTTTGGTCGCTGCCTCACAACTGGAAGAACTCCCGGGTCGGGTTGGGGTGCTGCTGCCCAGGCCCCCCCGCCCCAGAGGTGAGGGGTGGGAAAAGGAAGCAGGACGTCAGCAGAAACTCGCTCCCACACGCAGACGTCAGTCAGCAGCTAGGATGAAATGTGAGCGCGCTCGCTTTTGGCTCCCCCACAAGCGCTCCCCCGGCTCCTTCTGCCCCCTGTTTACCACAGGCAGACTCTGCAATTACGCGGGCGCCAGGTTGGACGGTGCGCCCAACACCACGTGACGGTCAGAAGTTATTTCTGCCGATTTGTTGAAACTGATAATAAAATAGAGTAGTGTTTGACAGCCTGAGTACACTGCTGCTCGTACCAAACATGGCTCGGATCTTGTAAAGCGTGGAGCTGCTATGCTTTTTAATTTGCTGTGTAATTGCCCAGTACTCGGAGAGTGCAGCAGATTATTCAGTGACGGCTGCCTAATAGCACATTCAGCTTAACTTGTCCACGGGTCTTCGGGGTTTTTCTGCACGTCTGCCCTCTCAGTTCTTGGCATCTCAGTAAAAGGTACTACCAGGCTGGTCCTGCCTCTTCACTTCCCCAACAGCCATGACCCTCCAGGTACCCAGCTCTGCTCCCAAAATACAGGGTCTGGCACAAGTGACACCACTTTTTATTACAAAATCTTTTCTTAGAAAATCATAAGCACATACTTTTGTAACATACCAAGATCACACTCAAGCACACCAAATGACATTCTAGGTGAAACGTTCAATTTAAAACTACAAATTCTTACGCCCATATTATTACCCTACCAACTACACTCAAGCAGGCTTTACTTTGGCTGGACCCTGTATATTTGGAATCCATCCATTTCTTTCTATCCACATTTTAACCCAGTAGTCCAAGCCAAACCAAATGCATCTGGACTGATACATTTTTCTTTCTAAACAAGTCTCCCTGCTTCCATTCTGCCTTTTACAATCTCTGCCTAGAAATGCAAATAATGTTTTATAATGTAATGACTTCTAGAATAAAATCCAAACTCCTTACAGTGGCTTCGGGTTCCACCTGATCTGATGACATATATATGTATATGTATATGTATATATATCATCAGATCTATATATAGGAGAATATATATATATATATATATATATATATCTCCTAAAAACATTTCAAACATCACTAGATATTTGGGGATGAAATAGATTGATGTCCAAGAGCCAGTGACTGCTTCCTTCTTTCAATAAGTGCTCCTGCTGGGTCACGAGCGGGTTCCCCTAAGTGCCATGGGGCGAGGGACAGAGAGGAGCTGATAATGTGGGGTGGTGCTGGGAGCAGAGAGAAGCACAATGGCAGGGACTCGTGTGACTCCAGAGCAAGCAGGGTAACGGCCCAGACTGGCAGCTAACGACCACCCATAGGAGTGCATGGTCAGTGTGCTGAGCACAGCCCTGGGGATGTAGGGACGGATGATGACTTTAGGGACAGTTGTCTGGGAACTGCAAGCTCCAGGCAATTTGATATTTGCAGGTAGAAAACTGGGTGAGGGGAGAAACAGCAAGCCGGGTGAAGGCCCAGAGTAGTAGCAATTAGAGTGCCAGGAAGGTTATTAAAACAGAACTCAGACTCAAGGAACAAGGAGGGTCTCGGTAGGTAGGACCAAGGCCCCAGACGAGCCTGGGTCTGGAGATAAAGGCAGGAAGACCAGCTTTCTGCCTGGACCCCCGGGGAGCTCGCTGTCAGCCACTGTGTGTGCTTCAGCAATTTCGGTACATTAAAGAAGAGTCAATAGGACAACATAAAAAGTATCCTTGGTCAGCAGAACCCCGGCGGCTGAGAAAGAGAAACATCACTGGCCCTTTGCAATAAAGTTTGTGCTTGAAGGGAAGAGAGGCAATGTGACTTTGCAGAGCCTTCACATCAAGTGCCACCAGACTACAGGCACCTCAGATGACCACTTTCAGATAGATGTGACCGTCTGTAATCATCCCAGCAGTGTTATAAGGATCCTGTCAGGAGAAGCAATCTTCTTACCTGTGGATCCACGTGCAGACATGCGTAGCCCGGCCAGGTCCTCCTGCACAGCTGTCATCAGGAGGGCAGAGGTGGGCCCCAACAGGCCGGGGCCTGGCCAGATCCTCCCTGGGGACACCCTCTGTGCTGTCACTGACCCTGGGGCACAATGCTGGGCAAGGCTTCCTTTCAGCCCTTCTTTCTGAGGCCTGCATAGACCCTGGAGCGAGTTCTCTGCTGTGACTACAGAGTGGGATCACCTGGAGAACTAGAGTGACCGCCGGAGCCTGAGTCCCACACCTACGGAGTCTGACATAATCGGCCTGTGGTGCAGGCCGAGCTCCCGGGATTGTTAAAAGCTCCCGGGTGGGTCTAATGTGCAGCCAAGACTGAGAACCTTGACCCTGGAGCTGCGCTGATCACAAAGGGAGGGGTCAACTGTGTCAGTGCTGGTGGGGAGGGAGGCTGAGGGGCACCTGGAAGCCAGGTAGAGTCAGGTCAAGTCTATCACTTCCGCTCACAAATGGCTGTGCATCTGTCAGACCTGCTTTTTGAGGTCTTATTAGATCAATTCCCAGCTCAACAGCTTTCAAGTGTCTTGACATTAGCAATAAATACTTTTGAAAAATTTCACCCAGATTTTACATCACTACCTACACAGTGAATTTTTGCTCCTTGTTCTTCCATTTGGGAGAACCAGAGGCTCAGGGTTATGGCCGGGGGTCAACGTGGGGCACTAATTGTTTTGTCTGAAGCAGGTGTCAGTGATAGGTAAAGCAGGCTGCTAACCAGACAGACCTCGGTTAAAATCCCAGCTTTGCCACTGCCCAGATCTGTGAATGAGGAAGAGATTCAGAGTAGCACTGATCTGCTTCAGTCTCTGTAAAAAACAAAGGAGCTCCTCTAGGAAAAGCCCGTGGCCTGGTAACCAGCTTACGGCAAAACACTCCGTTATCACCTCCGCATCTTAGTGCTAATTTTCTTCACTGAAACCTTTCTTTAAAGATTGCAGCTTTCCTTCTTTAGACACACTCTATCACTTCGGCAACTGAATAGATACATCCACAATAGTCAGCATTTTATACTTCGGTGTTACTTCAGTTTCTTTTGGTTGCAAAAAGCAGGAACCAGCTCGGGCTCCCTGAAGGTGAAGAAGGTGCCATGTCTGGGGGGCACAGCAGGCACGCAAGCACGGCAGCCGAGGCATGGGAGGTCAGGGCTCACTCGGGGCGCTTCTGAGCAGGATGGGTCTAATGGACAGACCAAAGCTACGGTTTTCACTGTTACTTGTTTTGTGATTTTAAACAGTATTGTTTTTAAAC